CACGTAAATTTCTCAGAATCGGGGAACGTATGTTGACGAAAATATTGACGGAAATAACGCGTTTCTCGTCTTGAATCCTCGGCATTGCGATCACATGGTGGTCACGTTGTAAACGCAAAGTCGGCCAAATGTTTTCGTAGCTGATGGCCTTTTAGAATTCCCTCTTCTGTCACCGTCCGCCACGTGCTGTCATCTCACGGTCCCCCTCAATAATCCAGCCCTCCGCCCCTGACACCGCCATGTAGCAGCCTATTCGCGTTTTAGCTTTTAATTAATTTTCGATTCTGTGTGCCCGACCATGCCCCGCCTTCCACTGTCTTCCTTCTCCATCCATCACGATTCGCTCTATGAATATCAAAGTAGTCGTCCGCTCCTGCGACGAGCTCGCTATTTTACGGCCCTTAAAGATGCCTCTCCGCGTTCTTTGTTTACGATTTATCAACTCATCGTATTTTAAGATTTCGAATATTTCATTGTATCAATAATTAAAACTTTATCGCTATTCGTAAAATTGCTATTTCAAGTATAAATGCTTTTTATGTTTTTCAATATTTCGTTAGTGAGTGACAAAATTATTAAATTCAAGATACGATCACACGTGCTTTTTAACTATAAAGATGTGTAGTGAAACCAGATCCGCAGTTTAAGGGTCAACTCGCGCAAAACCACGAGGGAAAATAGTGTCGAGTTATATAATACGTCTGCCTGAAACATTTTTTTTTTTTTAATCGGAATGGTGAGGATAAAACCGCGGGAAAACTACGATTAAATACAACGATGAAAACTTCGCGTTACCGACACCGATACACGTTTATTATTCAGTCGACTACGCATGTAATTGCAATTAATTATCGCCAGTTTCCTGGCGTATCAGGTGATATGTTGCGCTCGAGATAAATTCCCAGCGCCGTATTTCAGTAGCAATGGGCTTTCCGACGTTATCTAAATCGGACACGCATTTATTTGTATTAATTTACTGCACGCACTTTCCCGCGGAAGTCTAATAGATACACCGGGGAACAATAAGTAATAACGTGTCACCAAACCTGCCGTTAATTATTCCCGCGTCGTTACGCATTTCATCGCGCACTGCTAATTACATATCTTACTCAAATCAATTAAATTTAAATGTAATTTAATAAATTCTTTTTATTCTCAAATCTCTTATTAGGTATCTCTGTTCATCATTTTTTAATTAGAGCTGGAGAGAGCTTATTTATTTTAACATCAGTGGAATCAATTGAGATTAACTCATTTTTTTCATGATACGTTATTGTTGATATCTTATTTGCTTTAAATATTTTTAATGTTTATATCGCAAGATACATAATTGAACATTATGAATGCGAAATGTCACGATATAAATAATTTACAAAGTTAATATGGAGAATATATCTGTTTTTTTATTACGACGAGAAAATTTTGTCCAGCGAGTTTTAATTTTGGATACAACTCGCTGAAATATCGGTGCGAATCGCACCATCGGATCATGCGTGAAAGAAAGATCACCAGGAAATTTTGTTAGTGGTCCATTGACTTACGCAGATCTCGACGAAACGGCGAAACGCGGCGGGCGCGGAAGAATCCAATAAACGCAAAACGAATTTGCTATTAGGGTCGCGTCTGATCTCGTTGCAGGCCAATGAGGCGGAGCAACCCTTATATCAACCCTCCCGGTATCGCGTCTCACTGACGATAATAAATCGAATCATACTCCGAGAGTCAGCGGGTGTTTGCCGATCCATTAGGGTCGCTTAGCCGACTGTCTCTCCTTAAAGCACGATACGGTTGTCAAGATTTTTCGTTCACAAATCGATTGTATCGAATCCTAAAATATTTCCGATTCGTCATGAAAATAAGTGAATTTTTTAGCAGTTTTTAAATTAATATTAGATTTAATGAGAAAACTTGAGACACAAGAGTGGTATTTCTCTTTCCCCACATTGAAAATAAATATATTATCATTTTAAATGTAGCACAGGCGATAGATCTTTGGTCGCAGACTTTAGATTCATTTTTTAATTTACAGTTTATATTTACAATGTCATACTTAAAACTCTCAAACGCCAGATAAAGAACATAAAGTACGGCTTTGAAGAGCTTATTCGGCAGTATCTCACGTGTCAAGGAAACAAGCGAAGAATATAATCGGGGAGCCATTGTCTTAGCTACATAGACGTGCCTAGCTTTCACTGGACCGATGGCAAAGGCCATCGTTAACGGTGGCATCGACACCCACTCGAAAATCAGAGTGGTCCTCTTGGAGCAGCTATTCTTCGCGCCACAGACCCACCGACTGTGGACGTGAAAAAATTTTAATCGAATGAGATTTGTTAATAATAATAAAACGAATAATTTCATCACTATAACAAATTTAAATATCGATTGTATCGAATCCTAAAATATTTCCGATCGTCATGAAAATAAGTGAATTTTTTAGCAGTTTTTAAATTAATATTAGATTTAATGAGAAACTTGACACAAGAGTAGTATTTCTCTTTCCCCCTCATTGAAAATAAATATACGATACGGTAAGGAATATCGAATCAAGGTTGCTGACAAAAATTATTTTATCTGTTTACTTCCATATCACTTTTGTATACATTAGAATCTCATTGTTTATTACCGGTGGAATTTTAACAAAGCGCTTTTTCGATCCGTTATCTCAACAACAACAACAACAACAACAACAACAACGAGATTGTTTCATCTCGGAATTTCCATGTGTCCATAATCAATGGCGGGTCCGTGCCGGAGGCGGCGGCGAAGATACGTATCATAGATCGAACGATCGCGGGTGTGTCGCGTCCGTCACACGAAGCGATGGCGGTAATGCCGACCACCGTGGAGTTTGTACATTGTGAGCTCGACGCAATCTGTCCCAAGGATCTACTCCGGTGCCATACTGGTAGCCCACTCGACCAGTTCGTTAGCCAATCGCGCAGGTACCGTCGTTCGTCGTTCGTCGTCATCCTCCTCATCCCGAGCTCTCTTCGAACCCGAGAAGAGCACCCACGAGAGATGCGCCCGATACGGACGTTGTTTCCTCCTTCTGGACCGCTCCTTCCTTCGGGGCTTTGATTATACTGCTGTTGCTTCCATTGGTAAATTGTCATCATATCGCGTTGAAAGGTCTTAAGTTATGTATTTCTTTGTCGATTGGCAAGTTTATTGATTCATCCTTTTTCTCCTAAAATCATTTTTCTTTTTTAATTATACATGTCTATTAGCTACATATATTTGAACATATAAATAGAATATAAGATATTTTGTAACAATGTTTTCCTTATTAATGTTAGAAATATGGATTAGAGTTACTGTAATTCTAAGTTTAAATCTAGTTGTATTTTGCTATATAATTAAATTTCTTACTTTTGCACGGTACATAATTGATTTTACTCCAATCGTTTGTATTTGTTATTGTTTGTCACAGTGTTATGTTTGTTTACGCAGTTTCTAGGGATTACATCGGTATTTTTTCTTTTCTTTTTTTTTTCTTTCATGGCGTACCACTCAGTTTGCGTTTTTAAATCGCTGTTCTGCTTTCTTGTTTTGCATATCTTTCCTTGCTTAACGCAGACTTTCTCCTTTTTGTATCTCGATGGTGTGATTCTTTTTCTTTATCATGTTCGGTAAGTGGAGGGTTTTCAAGTATGGCGGATAAGAGGAATAAAAAAAAAGAGAAAGAGAAAGCATCGATCGTCTCGTAAACAGCTGCCTCGCGTGTCTCCCAGGTCTTAACGGGACGATTACAGACGTACACCTACTTTATGTGGCAGGGCTTCACCAATCTCTCGTGAATGACCCTATTCTCTCAATTATTCAACTCGTATGATCGTCGGTCATTCGCGGGTATGAAATCGGATAAAACTTTTGCTTTGCAAAAAAGCCACAGATTTGAGAGCCGAGATTAGAACTTAGCATCTTGATCGAGTACCTTCTACCTACCTTTTGCCTCCTCCTTTCTTTTTCTCTCATTAACCTCGCGACCTTCTGTGTGTGGCACGACAACACGAAAATTCGACGCATAAAAATGCCTCGCGCCCGGCGCGGCTCCCCTGGCTCCCGGATTCCACCATTTCGCTTGCGACTTTATAACCCAGCTTTCAACCCGGAGACACTAGCGAGAGGCAGTTTTCCAGCAGCTCCTTTTTATTAGTTCGCGACGAGAACGCGTCGTATATATACTCGCCGGCGTGCCCATCGAGAGCCCCGGCATCGTCGTTTTCAACGACGGCAGCTGGGAGCGACCGCGACTTTGGTCCTCTGGATGGTTCGTGTATTCCGGGGTGTACTCCCTCCCTCCCTCTGTCTCCCTCACCCTGCACCCCGTGACCCCCTTATAAGCGGATTACGTGGGTCCCGAAACGAGCCAAGCGAGGCTCGATGGCACGAGGAAGGTAGCGTGGGGTGGATCGTGGCGGGGAGGGAGGAGGGGGAGGGGGGGGACTGTTCAAAATTACGCTATCGCGACCTCGCAACGCTCACACTCTATCCCTCCTCGTTGAACCCCCTTTGCCGCCCTGTGCGGCAACCAGGCACGGCAACAACCCCCATCTTCGTACAAGACACCGATGTCACAGGCGTTCCATATTTGAAGACACCGACATCGATGGTAGTTCCATGCGAACGCATTGAAGTTCCAATATCGATACCTGTCTCACGATAACGGCGTAGTTCCCTGGCAGTTATATCTTCCGTTTTTTTTCTGTTTTTTTTTTCCCCCATTCTTTTTCGATTGCCGCACACAAGTGTTTCACGGGGAAAGAAACCTTTAAATAAACCGCCCGCACATTACAGAATCATCGGTTACTTTAATGAATTGAAACCAACTTGATGATTAGGCCTATCGATAAATCTTCCAATTACTCCTTTCCGAAGGAGCGCTGCGCGGAATTTTAAGAGTGTGACGCAGTTACGCAGCAACGAAACAAAATTTATCGTCGAGATTTATGAGACATAATAATTAATGATGAGCGCTTCCTTCCCTCATGTTGCAGGAATGAATCAACGCAAGCAACGTCGCGAGAGAACGACCTTCACTAGAGCTCAGCTGGATGTGCTGGAGGGGCTATTCTCGAAAACGAGATATCCGGACATCTTTATGCGAGAAGAGGTCGCCCTCAAGATCAACCTGCCAGAGTCGCGAGTCCAGGTAATTATTTTTTTTTCCTTTTCCTTTCATTTTTTTTATTCCTCTCCCTACTCTCTCGCTCAGCCCGCAGATTTTATAGCTTCTGAAATATCGCTGTCAACGATGTAGAAATAATAATGTAGACGGACGGGAAAGGTTCCTTGAACTTTCAGCGGGTAAATCGCGCGAATAATCCGAGATCGCCGTCGTCGATTTCGCATATGGTATCTAACATTTAAAGTCATTGCAGCATTTAAGGTCTTTGCGCGATATAAAATTGCATTGATGTGAAACGATCCACGATCCACCGATACGCGACGGAAGGAGCGGGAAAAGAGAGACGAGGGAAGAACGAGGGAGAAAGACGGTGGCGCGTTTCGTGCTTCCGCAATCGCGGACGAGATTTAAGATATTTACACAGCGCGACGTTCGCGCCCTACATCGTTCCATTTTCGCCATTGTCCCAGCCCTGCGTCTCGTACATTGATAGATGTGCCGACGAGCTCGTCGACGCTTTTATTGCGGTTCCCGTGACATCTTTATTTCGCAACGGGGTGTTACCAAGTCACGATCCCGCGCGGATCCCGAGCTCGTGTCTCGAATACCGGAGTTTCAATTGCGCCCAACCCTCTGACATTTGCATACAATAGTCATAGAAAAGTCTCGCGGTAGCACCTAAGACGAAACAACTAGTCCGGAAGTTTCGAAGAATTGAATTGTCGTTTCAACTTGTGTTTTACATTACGTTTGCGTATTTACGAACTCATTAGATCTCTGCGATTATTCGATATCTTTCTGTTCCTTTACGTTATATCCCATGTATTTTCTCACGTATTTTTCTTACAGCATTCCTCTAGAATCTTTACACGACATACATTTTATTTGCAACCCAGCGCATTCACCTACATTGGTTGCAATATATTTTTATATGGATCGTTAATGATATTTCTAATATAATTTTTTATGCTGAATTCAAATTCTTCTACTTCGTTCACAGTTTTTATAATCATCAGTATCATCAAAATAATGATATACAATCTTTCCATGCAAAGCCATGAGGAAGAATATTATATATTTTAAATTCATTTTCTGGATTCTCATTTGAATGAATGATAATATTGTTGTTGTGGAAAAACATGGTTTTTGCAATTTCATTAAGATATCTCGTACATGGAAAAGTAATACCAGATCAAATGGAGTATCCAATATGCTGAGTATTGAAGAGAGATAGCAAGATTCAAAAGCAAAATAGAAAATAAAAAAAAAATCATTATTTTTTTAGGTAATATAAATATTTAAATATACAACTTTTTTTAAACTTAAACCGTGCGTCACGTAAAAACTTTAAGTGATAGAAGAAAGTATTATATTAGAAATCAAATTCTTAGAATCACAATTATCTTTTTTCGTATAAGAAAAAAATTAATGTTTTATACACCGGTGTTTATCTGAGTACGTTTGGGTTGGTCATCGACGATTCGCGCATCTATCGCGGTATTTTGTAACTGTCCTGTCGGAATCGTGAAATATGTAGGACAGAAGCGTGGAAATTTAGCCCCAGGACGCGAAATTTCCACGCAAAGTTAAGCCGCCGTGAATGGCGGCGCAACTGCAAAAGGGTGTACCGCGCACACGCGCGCGCGCGCGCACACACACACATACACACACACACACACACACACGAAGCGCACATGTATATACTTAGGTGTACGCACAATGCAAAGGGAAATGCAATGCGGCGTATATATATATGCGAACAAATAGTACATACGCACGTATACGCAGCGGCGCGATTGTGTATGTGCGAGATGGCGTATCTGTGCGAACGAATAATATCTGGAGAAGGGATGCTATCTGAAAGTTTTAAAGGCACAGGGGGAGTTCGAGCTGGAAGACGGCGAGGCCACCGAGGGGGGAGGGGGGGGGGCAGAGGTCGGATGCGGGGACATAGGTGTATGGTATGGATAGAGATACGCACGGCGGTAGTGCGGCGTGCGAGGTACAACATATCGTTGATTTGTTCCTGGATTATAGCCCCTGGCACTGTCTTGTTCGCGAGAGCTCTATACGCGATCGCTCCTTCTCTCGTCGAGCGAACGCACGCAGCTGCGTACGACGCGACCGATGGCGCGATCGCGACGCGCCGCGTTGAATGAGAGTTCCGCGTTCGCCGCCGCGCCGTTCGTTCGTGTCACTTATAACCCGAGGACGAATCGGAAAATATTATCTCGATAGAGGAAAGGGAAAAAAAGCAGAGCTAGAGAGAATCCCGGCCGCACACACGGTTTCAGCGAGGAAACTACTCGCAAAGCTCTCTTTTGCTCGTTTATCATACGAGCTTCGACGAGACCTTTTGCTTTACGGAATTCCATATAGCCGAAAATAGCTGCGGTATAAAATATAGTAGAGAGCGTTAACTCGAGAAACGCGAGAATTTTATTAGAGAGATCTTCTGTTACGATATATTTTTTTGATGACGGCAGGTTTAAAATTTTTAAGGAATTTATATATTTGTCATTTTATTTCGATCACGTTTGAAATCGCTCATCATTTTCACGTTTTTTAAAATAGGTATAATGTAAAATAGTCTAAATTAAATATTTAAATTTATTCTATTCCCTTTTTATTTTCAATCTGAATATTTATCGATATTTTCACAGTATTGAGTGCAAAATGAGTAAACGCCACACAGCGCGCGCGAGCGGAACGTTCATCACGTTCATATTAGCAAATAGCGGATCTCACGTCAATCGTGCATGCTGGACGATGACATGTTCCCGGACGGGTATCGTCGATGGGGTCGTATTAATAATACAAATAAGAAAATATATTTGTCATAACAGAGTGTCAACGCAGCTGCGTCGCCTCCCCTGGCTACTGGGTGGTTTCCGTTCGTTGGATGTAAACCAGATGGTGGCGCAATTTGCACCTCGGCCTCGTCGACGTTCTCTCGTGTGTACGGGCGTGAAACTGTTGGTGGTTGCCCCGGGGTCGTCCGAATGCCATCGCGGTCTGTTTGGTTGGTTTTGGAGGGTAGATATCTCTCTCTCTCTCTCTCTCCCTTCCTCCCTCCCTCCCTCCTTCCCTCCCCCTCCTCTCTCTTGCTCTCGCTCGCTCTTGCTCGCTTGCCGCTTCTGAAGGGGTGTCGTTGTGCAAACATACCGCGTATAATAGGATCGTTCTCTGTCTGCCACACCAACCTCGATATAGATCCGTCTTTCTCGTTCTCCCGGGGGCTCGTTTCACTCGCGCTGATACGCAATATCCGCGGTATGTCGTGCCCAACAGATTTCAGCACCCTATTGCACGGCGTGGAGGATGACTTTTGCGAAATGAGGATCTGCCTATCGTGATGCCACGGCAAAGCAGAAGCCAAACAAACGGAGGAACGACGTTGCGGCGATGAGCGATTATGATCTCTAAATTGTGATTCGCACACTTTCGGCATATTGGAGAAATTTTATTTTAATTGATCGGCTTAAACACAAAAAAATAGTTTAAGCTTCATGTACTTGATATTTTTATAAATAATTTGTTATACATACATATATATATATATATACACACATATATGTTTAGTAAAAATTATATATTTTCTGAATACATTTCGGCACTTCCAGTAATCCAATGTCACCAGAATACTTTTCTAATTTAAATGATATCTGAGACGGCTTGTCGAGCGATTAAAGTTTCCGTCTATTCTTTTGACACGTTTCGAGACAAAAGGATTGCGCGTGGCTTCTGTCTCGATCGGCAAACGTGCACGGCCATGCAGTTCGAAATCCCTCATACGCTCCAACGATTCGTACTCTCCGTAACAACTGTTACAATGCCGCCGATAATAACAACAACGACGACGGGTTCCGCTTTTAAAGGCGCGGGCATAGATTCATAGGATCGCACCCCTGCCCACATTGTGCCTCGGCGGGATTATAAGGGGATGCGTGAGGGGGAGTATTAAGGGGGATGAAAGAGAAAGAGAGAAGGAGGGGTCACAACGCACTCACGAGCTTGCGGCCTACGAGGGGTTGCTTTTTGTCACCCCTCCCTCCCTCCCTCCCTCCTGCCCTCTTTTTCCTTTCCTTACTGTCCCTTTTCTGGAGAGAAAAACTTACATAGGTGTTTTCGTCTTTCCAAGAATCATGCGTGTGTATGTGTACGTCCCATCACGGCTACGTGTTTGTAGCTGTCGCATACAACTATGAAGGAGAAATCTACGTGTGTATGCTACTCTGTGTATATATTCACATAAGATACACGCGCACTATTCGCACATACAAGCAAAATCAACTATTCGATCTCGGGGGGGGGGGTGAGGGGAGGGTGAAAACAACCCTCGAGACGAGCTCTGATTCGCGCATGCGTGCCGATGAACGCCGTAACCACCGAGGACCCAGGGGATGCTCCAATACACGCGTGTCGGGACGTCGCGCTCGTACACGCGCTCCCCGTATGGCCCCTCCCTCCGGATTCTTGTTATTGTTGCGATTTAATGAAATGTTACGCCCGCTCGCCCGCGATTACTTTCCCATTGCACCGATTAACTCCCCATTCGGTCGGTCTCGTCTCTCGTGGCGGGACAGTAGGACATCTTTCCTCCCTGACGATCCCTAGGGCTGCGGTTTCCATCGGGAACTTTTGTATCTTATTGAAAGATATGCCTCGATATCACGATACGACGCTTATTGGGGGAATTTAATTGATTTCCAAGCCACAATATTTTTTTCTTATCTCTACGAAATAATAATACCATAAAGGTATTGCGAAAGTAAAGATGATGCTGATTATTGCATCTGTACGGATATTTGTTTCGCATTCTCACGGCACTCTCTGCCGTTCCTCTGCTTCAGGTGTGGTTCAAGAATCGTCGAGCCAAGTGTAGACAGCAGTTGCAGCAGCATCAACAACAACAGCAACAACAGCAGCAGCAAACCCCACCGTCGAAGGGTTCGCCCAGGTCGAATCAGAATCACAGTAACAGCAGCACCGGTAGCAGGATATCGACGAGCTCATCGACGACGCCGAGCAGGCGGTCCTCGCCAGATTCGCCGGCGCAAGGTAGGGAAGCACCGGTAGCGGGAAACTCGCCCTTGTCCACCCCGCTCCTGTCGACGCAGTCGACGTATCCTCGTGTCGGAGCGACGCCAACCGGTGGCAGTGGGGCCAACAGCAATCTAACGACCCCGTCGCCGCCGCTGACACCGAGCTCCAATCAGTTACAGCCGTCGTCCTATCCGAGCACCATGAATCAGATTCACCACGGCGAGACCTACAGCTTCGGCTGGAGCTCGGCGGGTTCCGCTTCTGTGAACCACAGCCAGTACGCCGGCCAGGGCTACAACGCCTACGCCCAAACCCCGGGCGTGTACGGCGGCGACTATTATCAGGCTCAGATCCCCCACATGCACCATAGCCCGCAGGCCAACTACCACCATCCGCAGTATCATCCCAACATGACGCTCACCCCGTCCATGTCGCACCTGACCAGTCACCATCTAAATCCGGTGACTAGTCAGACGCAAGCCACCAGCAACGACATAGCGGCGGCCGCGGCCGCCGCGGCCGCTGCCGCCGCCGCCTCGGGCGACGAGGCCGCCGGCTACGTGCTACCGGAGCAGAAATATCCGCCATTGGCATAGCGGTCCAGCAGGTCCTCCGGGATCTTTCAGCGGGGCCAGGAGACCGCGAGCACGGCCGGCTCCTCGATGCCCTATCATTGGCGACTGAACACGGCGATTTGTCACGAGATCAACGGTAATCTGGACTCCGACGATAATTGATCATTGCGGGAAAGGGACTGCGTCAAATCAACGCTGAACGTTCTCCGCACCCCCCTTCATAGGTACGAATTCGAATCGGTGTATAAATAAGTTACACACACAATCATTCCGAGATGAACGACGTTAGCCAGTATCGCGATAATTGCATAATACGTAATACAGAATTTTCGCGCTAGTATCGCGCTTCGTGAAGGTTAAGGTTTTGCCGAAATAATTATATGATATCGATCATCGATCGCCAAGTAATAGCTGAGAGTTAATTCGTATGAAACGTTTGACGTGCGTCAATACACGAGATGTATTTTCTGATATTCAGTTGGCTTGATGCAACCAGAGATCTAGATCGTACCTACGAAACTCAGACTATTATGGATAAATTGTTAACTAGATATTTTGCACACAGTTTTCTTGACGTCTCTAACTTAGGAGGAATGTTTTGCGAGACGAACGATCACCGGAAGAATAAAATCGCGGATAAAACAGATTTACATGATTATTTGATAATTACTAATGTCAATTATTGATAATCATTAATCATTGGTTTTACTTTATTTAAACGATTTTATTATTTTATGGTAATCGTTCTCTTATCACAGCTTTGTTTTAGGAGATATTCTGTTACATTTTTTATTTTTTTTATTGCAAATTAGATTATATATATTTGTGATAACTGATTTAGAAATTATTCGAATTTCATATTTTGAAAGTGCTTTGAAATTTTTATTCTTTTTACTTTCTCGATACGATTAAAATCGTATTAACATAGATTAAATAAGATATATTAGAAAAACAAAAAGTGTTTGTATTGTAATAATATCTTCTTTCTATACTTACGCCAATACCAGATATTGGAAAAAGTAACAGAAAAGACTAAGATGCAGAATCTTTTGTTGTCTTATATATTCATATTTAAAATTTCAAAAGAATCTATGAATATCGATTGGAATTCTCATCATCTGTAGATTATCTATCGATATTTCAAATTAATATTCTGAAATTTACAAAACTTGAAGGAAATAATAGTATCTGTAAATGGCAATTTTTAATTTAATATCATTTTATAGTTATTTCAAAGCACCTTCTCAAACAACGTATGTATGCATGCAAATAAATTAGAAGAAAAATAATGAAAATATATATAGGATAAATCTTGCAATTTAAACAGGCAATTTTTATCTGTGTGTGTTTATTTTTTTATCTGTGGCAATGATATACCAAAGCATAATTACATATTTTCTAAACGGAATCATACTTTTTTTTATACAAATGATTTCCTATGTATTCTTTTAATAATTATTTTTATACATGCATTCGTCTCGTATAAAAATGCTGTCATGAAGAACCAATATATATATATATAATTCACAAAATAATTATATTTTATTTAATGCATTCAATTTTTATTTTGTAACATCATTGTATCTAGGAAAATACTTTACAAAAATTGTATGTTATTCAGATCTTTAATTTTTGTATATGTCACTTTATTTTGACTATAGTAATAAAATGATATTGACTAAAAAGATACATCTGTTCAGATTGCATTACTTATTCTGTATAAAGAATTTCATAAATGTCAATAATATATTTTTATTAATATATAATTGATATATTAGTATAAAACATTATTTTTTTATTAGAGAATTATTTCTGACAGATTATTACACAAATTTGTTTTACAGATTGAAAATGTGAAATTTTCTCTTTAGCTATGATTTTAATTTTATCACAGAGAATATTTCGTATTCTATAATCACGTTGATGGAGTATGTTTTTTGATTTTCTTTGCTGTAATGTTTAGTTTATAAAGTATAGGTATTAATCAATGATATACAAATGTTTAATCATTTGTTTATCAATAATGCCCTGCAATAACGGTTCCGTTTTTCTTCCTTTTGAAATTTTTCATTATAAAATTGCGAAAATTATTTTTATCTCGCGTTTTTCATCCCTTTGATTAAAATTAACGCCGGACAATATACCTAAAATATATTTTTGAAATATTACAAACATTGTGTAACAAATGGTCCGTACAAGTAGTATTAATGTAATATTTTATTGACATTATTATTACATTGAGTAAAAAAGTATGTCATGAAAATTTATTACTTTAAGTTAATGTTACCGACAAAGAAAACGATATTTATTAAGATTCGATCTCTTAAGAATCGAATATAGACAATCGATAAAACGCTAATTCGCAATTATTGAGAGAGATGATTTTTTATTAAATCGCGCATCTTCAAATTGCAAAAATTATCGTTATTTTATATGCTTTTGCCACAATTTCGTCGAAAATTCACACTCGTAACTCATATTTAACGCTGAACTCTAGATTGTCTGAATTTGAGTTTTACCTAAATACATAGCATATACTTTGGGGACAAATATTTTATATATCTGAATGAAGATAAGCGGATTTAGCAATAAATGTGAATTACGAATGTATAACCGGATAAACGACCGATATCAGTCCATGGGAAAGTCGAATTTTATTTTCGAAAAAGAGAAAAAGAAGCAAAAGAGGAAGCTTGTCCTTGTAAATAAAAATAAAAAAAAGGCTGTATTCACATAAGGAAATTGTCATCAAATTTCCCATAAGAAGCTTATTATACGCGCCACACATATGAATTTATTTTAAGATCTAATCTATGATATCCTTTGCATTTTTAAGATTAAAAGACGAGTATTCATCACTGCCGTCTTTGTCATTGGTATTATCCTTATTATTACGATTAACATTGTATAAATAATTATTCATATCAAATAATGGCCATAATAGCCGAGAATTTGTAAATAATAATAATGAATATGATCGCGCGTGAAAAATGAGAAACTGATTCAGAACTCTATCGCAAGAATTGAACATCTCTATATGTTACAGAAAAGAGGAGAGAGAGAGAGAGAGAGAGAGAGAGAGAGAGAGAGAGAGAGAGAGAGAGAGAGAGAGAGAGAGAGAGAGAGAGAGAGAGAGAGAGAGAGAGAGAGTAGAGAAGTAGAGAGTAGAGTA